ATATGGCTTCCAACCGATGTCAGCGGCGTTCTTGTTGTCAGTTTCTATCCAGATTTCCTGAGTGAATGTTTGGAGGTGTAGGCACCCCCGTCCACCTTTGCTCTTTTCTTTACAATAAACCTTTCAAATAAATCATGGTTGCACGGCAGTGAAGCATCGGTGTTGAACACTGATGCCATGCTGTCGATGATGATAATGATGATGACTTTATTACTCCAGCAATTTTTCCCTAATTAACTTCGGCAAATTAAGATATACAATAAATATTATAACTTAAATTATTTTTTGAGAATGAATAAGAATCATTAGAAATTTTTTATAATTTTACAGACCACACCTCCTGATGCACCATATACATTTTTATACACGGCAAATTCAGGTGGTTTTAAAGTCTGTCCGCCTGATTGGCTGCATAACCTACGACTGAGTGGCAAATTACGCGATCACGTTCACAGTTGAAAAGATCACAGTGAAAGTATCGACCTCCTGCACGCCAGGCTTGAGACGAGTAACAGATCATTTCCAATTTTGCAGAAAAAATTCTTTGATGCGAAAAAATATCACTGTAAGGAAAATTGGGTCAAAAACAAACAAACCTGTTCTGTTCCCGCCATGAATTTGGTTGGTATTGTGGATTCATACTCAAGAGCATATGCACCCTGAGCGCAAGAGAATTCTTGTTTCTTTGTAGGGTCTAGATATAGCACTTCTGTTGGTTCTGAAAACTTTCGGACATCCCACCACATGACTTGACCATCGGTTCCTGTGGAAAAACATTCCGTCCCTGTTTTTGATTGAATCCATATTACTTTCCAGGCTGGGTCGCGATGACTTTGCTCAACAGGAGTTACTTCTACCGGTTGGGAACCCTTGCGTCTGTCCCAGAATGCTTTTTGGAAGAAAACCAAGGAGTTGATTTTACCAGAAGCTTACCTAGCTGGCCATTATAGCATCCGCTTATTAATGTATGTGAATCCTTTGGATTGTACTCAATGCAAACGAGAGGCGATGCAGGTTTAAGAACCAATTCCGGTCTATTTGGATTGCCAATATCCCACAGGTAGGACTCCAATGATGTATTTGGAGAAGACGCTTGAAACTCAGTGTTACAATAAGCGATGGCCAGTTTAGAGGGCCCGTCGGGAAACCAAGATATATGTGCCACACTGCGCTTTATTTCATTCATATCTCTGATGGTGGAGATTTAACAAACGTGACTCCGTACCTCAGAATGTTTAAGGTCTTTGCTGATGGAGGCTCTTCTGAAGCCCTATCGTCCAAATCATCGAAGTAGTTTTCATAGATATTCAGGGCATTATTTTGCTTGATGCAGTGCTCCATTACCTAGTTTAACAAGTAATCAATCATTAACCTCACTGACCATGCCCAATTTCTGTACTGTCGCCGAATACTGTTCATCCTTTTCAATCTTCTTCCTGTAACGAAGGACCTGGTCGGGTTCCTGGGCGTTGATATCTTTGGGCCATCCACCCTCAAGATGGTTTATTCCACGGGATTCTGAATGGTATCTTTCCGTGTTCACTTCGTGTTCAGACATTTCCTTGGAACATTGTATACTTCGATGAACTGGGTTCATTGCAATATAGTTATTTGCAAGCTCAGGGTCCGGTGAAATATCCACATGGAGCTCGGCATTCCTATCGCTGAAATTACACTGTCTACCGAATTCAGCTCTCTTTTTTGTGTATACATAAGTAATCTCCATGGTCTTGGTGGAGTGACAATTTCAAAAAGTCACCTGTTTGAAAACTAATAGCGCCAAGGAGTAAAACAACGCAGCCGAGTTTTGGATTTGGGAAAGTGGACAATGCTCAGTCTATACCAGTCTCACAAGAAGATACTAGTAAAGGCGTTGTGCCGTCTGATGGAGAAGGAGGAAAACTTCACCTGCATTTTGAAGGTAGATTTTCATGAGAATCCATTGAGGGCCGATTCATACAGGCATATCAGAAAATTCTCTGATGCCATAGCTCAGAGGGGCCTTTGGCCAAACAATACTCCTGGTTAAAGCCTTTGTGGATGGGATAAAAATCCTCCAAAATGTTGAATTTTGTTGCGTATGTGTTCGAGCCTAAAAACCATCCTAATCTTCGTTCATATTTTCGCATCTCATTAAACTGAATAGTCCAATCGAGCAATCATACCCTAGCGGAAGAGTCTGGCAGAGTACTTTCTTAGCATCGGTGAGACCCAAGATGCCTAGATGGGGCCAAAAGTTTAAACTCTTACACGGTACTCAATTGTTTTTCACTTTTAGTCCATCAGGGTTACATCGTAGTCTCCAAAAATTCACTTCCACTGGGCGAATCTTGAACGACACTTAGTGTAGGAAATTTTCTTACATACAGTTTAAGCATTTGATCGCATTTATTCAAGCCCGTAAGATCTCCCAATTTGCGCACCGCCGTCTGGAATTTGCTTAAACGTACTCAGGGCCCACAATGATCGCGAGATTCATAGTTTCGTAGCTGCCACTGGCTTCCAGTGATGTTTCTGTGAAGGTGGTGGAAAATTTTGTGGAAAAGCTGGTTTGCTTACGTGTTTTATTCCGTACTGGATGCGGAAATAATCTCAAAACTACATGGACAATAACTACGTACTCCATGTTCACAAAAGCTCTTAATGGTCTAGCTAGTCGTGAGCTGTATACAGAGTATTTTCTATCTTTGTGGCAGACGTCGAAGTAATCCGTCACAGGTAGTAAGTTCCCTTTTGTTTATTTCGTGTGGGGCGTGGCGCGCTATATCGGGTGCACGGCAGGGTTCTACCTTCAATGGCATACTGATCTCTTGATGGTGCTGTTGAGTGAGTTAATGGTTATATAGGTGGAGCAAGCAGGCAGTACAGTACAATGGCAGCTGCTCTGAAGTTCTGGCTTTAATTTAACGGATTGAGACGCTTTTGTAGACGCATATAAGTATCGGTCCGGAAATATGTTGAATCAAATTAAGCCGTCAGGCTGAATATGACAGTTGCGGCACCCTCATCACGACGTCGTACATGGGTTTGTGGCCAACTCCGTAAATGAACCTTTTGGGTGAGTCATGTGGGGTTTTCATGGTGGTTGGGACTGACCAAGGAACTGTGTCAAATTAAGACAAGCATTGTTTCAGGATATTTTTGGGTGTGTAGAGAGAGCACGATGGTTTATTGCACCTTTTCAAAAGTCGCAACAAAAGAACCTGGTCTACATTAGAGGCCCAAAATGGTAAAAAGTGCCGGAAAGTTCTACAAGGGGGTTCTGTTATACCAGTTAAACTGCGGCTCGAAATAACAGGCGGCCAAAAAGTGACCACAATTTCTAACTTAAACTCTGTGCGGTGAACGGGGTACAGTACACACATTACGTGTGTACTGATGGAACCAACTAGTGAAAACATATTTCGCCAAGGGTGGTTGTGTACTTCTCAGGAATGGACGTGGCAGATGGACCACATTTATCGATATGAAGGGACGCCACTAGATTAGGACATTATATATAGCTGAAGCCTTACAAACAGTCGCGTGCTTGGGTAGAATCCGGATATAGATGAGGCCTCCCAATCCACGTCGCACGTAGACATGGACCTAGCAGTCACTACAAGTGGTCAAGGTAACGGACAACGGCAACCGCTATCATGGTGATCGGTTTATGACATGAACAACCTACGGAGCACCATATTTCTGCGAGAAATGATACCAATGAGTTGGTAATTAACTCACTGATGTAAGAAAGAAGGCCTCCGCTGCGGGGATGTTTATTAGAAAAAATCAACGAAACGCTACAGACTATTGGACATGAAAGCGAAACTCTCATATGCGTCTTGTTCATAAAAACTAAATATCCGTATTCTTTAGACCGTTTTCTGGAACATTCTTGAATATTCATTGAATAACATTCGAATGTAAACGAAAGCTACGAAGTAAATCCAGATATACGGTAATAAATTCCGCTTTCCAATAGACGCGAAGTGGATACATGGGAGATCATATTACTCGCATGCGTCATCAGTAGAAGTCACCGGCACAATGATAACTCTTGACATTGTTTTATCCACAGGCTATCCAGTCACATCTGGAAAAAGCAAGCATACCCAGAGATGGCTCCCGCAAATTCACTGCGCGGTTCATGCTGTTGTCTGGCAATGTTGTAATTAACGAGAGATGAGCCCCATAGGAATAAGTGTCTTGAAGGAGTTCGTTGAACAGAATCCTCTCATTTATTAGATGAGGAATATGAAGCAAACCTCAATGTCCGATTTTCCTGGGTGGAATCTGCACCAAATATACTGTAAAATGTTGCTTCATTCTTAAAGAGCGAATAAGAACGCCAATATGTGCTGAAGTGTGATTTTGTGCTTTATCTCCCCTAAACTGGTAGAAAAGGGAATCGATAACCTTGAAATTTCGCTCACCCAAAAACGCCGTCAGCAAAATACCGCCGAAAGGTGCAAGCAAATGAGACTAACTTCCCATAAAATTCACAACTTCAAAAGCCATAGAGCTTCGGCGGAAACAATTTGAGCGGCCCATTGAGGTGAACCATGTTAATAAAATGGTCCGTTCTGTACAAACTTTCCGTGTCAGTATGTTACGTTTTGTTGTATGCAAGTTCAAGCCAAAAGTCATCCCGATCTAAATTCATTCTATCGCGATTTGAAATTAATACCTCTTTTCAATTATTGGCACGCATTCTATTTTAAGTTTGCTATTCCCTAACTTGGGAATTAGCTTCACGTACATTTGTAGAGAAAAAGGGACTGTCCACTTTCCACCTCTCATGATATTCGAGGAGGCGCTAAAGAAATGTGTGGCGGATAACAGTGTAGTATTCGCGCGTGTGGCGAATGCTGGAAGCACCGACGCTATTTTGCGTTACGAGTGGTGGTAAAAAATGCAGCAGGGGCAGTAAGGCAGATGAAAGTCGAGGAAACCAAAGAAGCTAATAAGTAGAGAGTATAGTAGGTATGCGAAGCGCAGGTTTTCCAGTTAGTTTTTGTCAATGGATGCGGCGGACCATCACTCGGTCACCAGTTACCATTTTGAAAACAATCATGAGATGACCAAGGTTTTGGACGGTCGGATTTCGGTTAATTAAAGGCTAACCAAAGAGGAGTTCAGCGCCTGCAACTTCATGCTCCGTCGTGTGAAATGCCGCAGTTGGTAACTGATTAGTTTGCCGAGATTCTGATCACCCACAATGTACACATCTATCGCCTTAAGTGTCGGATATATCTTTTCAGTAAGTGACGCATAATGGGATTTTATTGTGACAGATGATATGCTTTTACTCCTGACAAATCTCCGGGATTTAATACAGTGCTTCAGCTGCCGTCGGGGAGGCTGCTTAAGATGCACATCACCTTCAGATGGCAAGACATAGCGCGCCTTGACGCTTATGGCATGTGGTAAATGTCAATGAAACACAAGCGACAAACAGTTTTGAGTAGCCCTTTTAAGGCAACTAATATCCGGCCTATAGACACAAGCTGTACTCCTTCCCAAGCACTGATGTTATGGGTACTGAACGTCCGATTATGTATGCATTCTTGAAAATCAAACATTTTTCTCACATGAGCAAATTGTCGGGAGTGCTCAGAAAAACGAGGGGTGAAGAGTGGTGAACATATCGGTTGCATTAATGCGGGCAGCGACAGCAGTGTTCGGCTGCGATGTCATATTGTACTTATTGAGGTTCCGGTACGGAACTTTGAGTGACGCGCAGGTTCTACAATCCCGAATATCAAAATGGAGGACTGGGTTCGTATTTCTACGGTATTATTTACACAAGGCTAAGCAAATGTGTACAACAAACCTCAGTTGTGCACGTTCGTAGCACTGTCACTGACCGACACATTGCAGTGTCAACGTCCGCACACCAAACAACGCCAAGTGGAACGATGGCTGAGTAGCGTAGGTTGCGATCGTCCCTTCCGATGGCTTTCCTGTGCTTCTCATTGGACGTGCGACCACATGGAACCCACGAGAAAACAAATCAAGGCAGGCTCAGGAAACGGGGCATGAATGCACACGGGTACATAGGTCGGCAGCTCACATTCCCACACAGATACATGTCAAGACATCGGAAAGGACGGCCTCTGCGGCAAGGTGCGTGGCGGGTACGAATAAGCAAAACAAATGAAGATCAAAGGTACATAGGCAGAGTAAGCAAACGGATGGGGAATTATCACAAGGTCGAGTTAGATTCAACAATACTACTTTTACATTCGAAAAGCTGTCAAGCTGTCACATAACGATTATGTATTTTATTATGAAAACACTGTGAACTGCTGGCGCATATTTCGCCGTATGGATCGCCCGTAAAATGCCGCACTGCGAGTTGTTTGTTTATCACAATCCAAGAGCGCAGATTCCGACAATGCAGATTCTGAAACGGCTTGGGCAAATATACACACGAATCATCTCTTTTGCCTTACGGCCTGGTCCACGGACCGTCCAGCAAACGTGAAGATGTGCTTGCTAAACAGTCTAAAAGGCATGTACCAAAGCAGGGATTCATAGATCAGTGTATCCCGGAAATCTGCATGTGTTCGTGAGGTCGGAACAAAGAAGTAGCACATCCAAAACCGTGAGTTAATGGCTTAGTACTAAGACTAAAGCTAAAGAGCGCCAACAGGCGGAACTGGATGACGATAGTTTAGTGGAACTCATGCGAGGCCCATCACATTCAGATTGTACGTCTAGTACTGGCATCATGAACTTCATGTGGGTTTCGTTGCTTTTGACGACCTAGTCAGTAGGCAGGAGGCTACAAGAAATTACACAGAAGATGGCGTTGCGTAGACAAGAGTCAAGAGTCAACAGTTTCGCAAGTGAAGCGCTCTCCTTAAAGCGTAGCTATCGCTTCCAGTTTGTCAGCCGCCTCCCTCAGTGATATTTTGACAATTTTCATCTTCCTCTCCTTTCAGGAGGCCAGTAGCTCAACAAACAACAAGAACCTCATGCTCCTCCCCGAAGGACTAATATAGGTGACCAATAAAAATCAGCTTTTCATCTCGTACATTTTTGAACCTCGGTTTTTTGCGGTGGAGATAGATATATGCGTGCCGGTTGGTTGATTAAGCACCGAGAAACCTTAGACACATGTGGGTTCTGTGCTTCGGATAGCTTTGTTCAGCTGTCCGCTATGATCATCGTCTCGCCGTTCGCACTGGAGAAAGATGCCTCTAGTAAAATGGTGTGAATGCTCCCCCGATGATATCAAACAATCATTCAGAATTCTCGACCCACAGCCACAGATCATCAACATCTTCAAGCATTCAACAAGCAATCCAGTATGCCCATTATGCAATATTGACAACTACAAATGGCAATTATCGCGTAAACTAATGCACCGCCGAAGACCGTTGCTTTCGGATGCACTCGGTTTTCCTTTGACACCAATTTCGATTCCAATTTTTGGAAGGCTGTTTATGGTTGCAATCTTTTCTTCACTTCTCAGCGTCCATTTTAGAGCTTTGAAAGGGCTAATTGTGACAGCCAAGTGCAGAAATGCAGAAATACTTAACTTCGTGCACCGGTGGCTCTCAAGGAAGTTTGGCAAGCATTTGGCTTATTTTTCTCCGCTGTTAATTTGAACTCTCGTGTAGTGTAGCATGTGTAGGCGAGGTAAAATGTAGTGGTATTGAATATATTGTTTTTGACGACATTGAGCTAGAGTCTTAAATGGAGCCTTCCATAGTTTAGCGTATAAAGATTGGTTACTCGGCATCATCAATTGTTGGATGGTGCCCGAATTCCGACCACATTTTGGTGCATTTTGGAAAATCCATAAGTAGGCACTCCCAAGCTGTGCGCCGTTGGTGCGGCTGAAATAGTCTTACATTCGGTACAGTAGTTTCCAGTCCCACATATACGCTCTACTATCACCAGCCCATTATCGAAGCCCTGTCTTGGCCACGAAGATGCGCCACCGATGCAGCTTCCTGTGTAATTATCCCGGTTCTACATCCGGTCTCCAAACCGATAAGTCCAAACACAATTCGATGCAAACGGGTAAGTAGAGAACATTGCGCCTACCCTAATTTCACACCGACTCAAGACAAGCAAGCTACGAAATGGTTTAACCGCGTGTTTAGGCAAAACTTGACGTACGATGACAAAGTCAAAGGTGGTTTATTTCCCGGTAAAAACAAGAATTGAGGCATAAATTCAAAATGGAGTTAATTAAATGTGGGCTAGTGTAATACAGAATAATAATTAAACAACAGACTCAAAACTAACCGCAAAAACCGAAGAACAGCCGTTTGTTACTCATCTATTCGACCTCTGAAACTTCAAATGCTGGATAATCGATACCCAGCGCTACTTGAGCAGGCGTGGAAGATTGTGCATCAACGCTATGTGCGCCCGTTCTTGGCTACAACAGATGACCGCACCCGCACTTTTATTGGTTCCGGAAGATTTTGTCTTTTAGGCACCTGTCAATTAAATACCGGTGGATTCTCTCCAAAGCCTCTTTCTCGTTAGCTATTATTCCTCTTCAGGTGATTCCTGAGCCTTCTGTCCGCTGTGACTATACGTAACTTTGCACTCTTTAAATTGTCGCTATGGAATTTTTTTGCGCTTGGTTTGTTTTGACAATTCATTTGACACCTGACGGTACTGATGTGGACAAACCTCTTCTGTTTCATTTAAGAGCATTCGAGATAGCATCACTAATATTCGAAAACTTTGTGGAGCGACTAAAAACCTCAGTTCATAGGACTTGTGAAAACATTTACTCTGAGTACCCTAATTTTTGATTGTTGGGAGCCGGTTGCCACGGGCGCTCCTTCATGCACCTTTACCTGACAACCACTACGCGGTGATTTCTTACCCTCGATGATCCCTACAGCGTGCGAGGTACTAGTCGACAGAACGTCCATGGCAAGCCATCGCTGCCCTGGTTAGTTATTGGATAGCTAAGAGACCCATCGTGTCAGTTCATTTTCCTTTATAATAATAATAATATTTATTCCCAACTAGTGGGTAGCATACCGTCGGGCATGATCATAGTATTACAGTCAGAATAAAGGCATGACTGGTGGGGTTTGTGATTAATGGGAAAGAGGAAAGAGACGTAAAAAGTAAACATTAATGAAGTAGAGTTCATCACATCTGAGGTGGCATGGGTGGGGATCCAAAATTACAAGGTCTCTTTATGTCCTATGGAGAACATATCAGATGGCACGAGATTTGAATGTTAGGGTTTAAAAGTGGCGGGCAAAAAAAACAAAACAAATGAGGGCATAACAAAAAGCTTCCTGACTGGAACGTGACAAAAACAAAAAACTTCAAACGACAGGAAGTTTAGGGCCGGAATAATGGATATGGAGATGCAGCGGAGCTGTCACGATATGGCAGGCCGGTTTGAACTAATGCCCGGAACCGTCACTAGGGCTTCATGGCCTTGGGCTGTGTGGCGGATGGCCACGGAATGTTATGTGGAGGTGGTGTAGTGGGGTAAAAATGTAGTACGGACAAATGGTAGCGGGAAACGCAGAATTACAATGTGCAGTGAGGCTTGTGCGACTCACTAGTGTTGTCGATGGAGCAGGGAAGAGTGTAAAAGTTACTTGGGAAACGAGTTCATGCAGACTGAGCAATAATTGACTGAGATGGTGAGGAGTACGAATAAAAGCCGCCGAGATCTTTACATCTGGCAGAAGGTTCGGCAGATTGCAATGAACGCCTTCCAGTGGTGGCCGGGGACAAACGAAGGTTGATTGTGGTTGTCGGTATGGAAACAAGTGGGCGAGAGGACCTGGACAAAGTAAGAGGGGAACAATTACGGGTATGCCATCAAACCGGGTATTCCAGCGCCGTACCATCACTGCACTGAAGTACATCGGTTTCTGAACAGTCCCGTGATGGATGTCGTGATTTAGGTTGTTAGGCTGAGATGTGCAGCTTGTTTT